GTACCGTCCTTTTTCCTTTCCCGTAAACCCGTTTAAACTTTACCTACCATAGCTGCTGTACCGTACCTACTACCGCCTTCGGTCCGTACACGCAGTATATATATATATATATATATATATATATATACACACACACATACACACAGTTGTATACATACCTCAGAAACTTAAACACAAGCTTGTTTTGAGCAGAATTTACATCTTAGAACTATTAACTATTAGAAAAAATTATCATATCAAGTAATATATACTTACAATGACATTTTGAATTTCCTCAAAGCTTCATTACAAAAATTACAACTAAGAAAGTTACAAAACTATCAATAACATGGAATGCAAAATGGATTGATGACTTTATATTGCTTTTTGTGTTGTTTCATCAGTGGATTTTATGCTATTATCATTTACAAATTTTGAAGAAAAAGTTAAATGCATGTTTACATAGTTTATCTCTGAATGTCGGGAAATTAAATTGGCCTTTTGCCATTGGCTGAAAGTATGTTTCAACTATAAACATAAGATCTCATGCAAGAAAATATGTAAAAAGTTATGTACGATAACTAAAATATCTGAGCAGAAACTTAAAAAAATGTAATTTTGATATAAAAACAAATATGCAAAAGTTTCTTGAGATTTATACAAATAATATAAAATTAAAAAAAAAGATACATATATAAAAATACAAACTAGAGAAACAATGGCAATCTAAACTATTGAAAAAATATTTTAATACCTTGTTATGTAAAACTGCTTATCAGCTAGGTATCCCTGTTAGTCATTACATATGACAATATGAAGTAATAAATTAATTGGTCAACTGAGTTACCTGAAATGGTGTACAAAGAATTTTTCACCTGTGCCAACACTTTTCAAATTCAAGTAAAATTTGTAATTTCAACCACAAACTTTTATAAGTTATTTTTTTTTACTTTTAGCTCTCTTAATACAGCTAATTTTGTTCATTCTCCTTCACACGTAAAATATTTTTCTTGTCAAAACAGTTAGTTGTTCTCAATAATTAAAAAATATATAATAAAAAGGTAGGATAAAAACAATTAAATTATAAGTCTTATACGCATGTAAGTTAATTCCCCCCAAACGAGTTAAACATATTTCCTATTTCCAGTGTTTTTGCCAAATGCAGAAATGAATCAAAAAATTCAGATACGATATACTTGTAGTAGTATTACTACTTACAAGAACACAACAAAAATTGAAACTCGAAAAATCAACTAGTACTACTACTGGTGAGTATAACGATATAGTTTTTAGTAATAGTAACACTATATATTCACATATAAGTATTCATATTCATATTGAAATCTATAAAATTATAAATCAAGACGTCATTTTAATTGCCAATTTTTTACATTAATATTTTGAAAAACGTAATGGATCAGTGCTCAGTTTCACAGAAAACTTTTTATTCCTCTCAAAATTGAAATTAACACAAACATCTCTGTAAAGTGCAAGTTCTAACACGAATAAAAACCAACAAAATCTTCAATTCTATCGCTAAGCCTAAGCCTTCGATAATGCTGTTGAGTACACCTCTAATGTTGATAGGTATTTAATTGTATATTAATTTCGTATTTTTATTTCTTTTGTAACGAAAACTAACGCTAACTTCATCACTTACCCGTACAGTCAATATTCTGACAACTCGATACAGCAGGTACGAAAACACACGAGTCCTAAAGCTACTAAGGTTGCACGTAAAATCCGTCTTGAATACCTTAGAATAATCACATATACTAATTCTCTGGTGGCGTCCTCTCCCGTCACCAATAATAAATATTTATTTTGTATTATCATATTACAAAACATTACATAACAGTACGATATTATAGCATAAAAATAAACAATGTATGTAATAAACAATCAAAATATTAAGTACATCTAAAACAGGAAACCTATCGAAAAGCTTCAAACCATGCAACAAACAAAATTCAGTGAAAGACAATAAAGATGGGAAAAAGTAAATCTTAAACGCACTCAACAAAACAAATTACAATACACAATCGTATGTAAGGAAAAATAAATATATGGCAAATAAATTATTGGAGTCACTCTTATATAATATTCCAAGCCTTTGGAAATTACATTAGCAGCACTATACATTGTTGCATTTATGTGTGAACCTCCTATATTCTAGCGTATTTTCTTATTTCTTAATTTAATTATAACTTTAGTCGTTTTACAATTTATTTTATTTCACTTTGGTAACATTATGACTCTTTTCTCCGAACCTTTAATTCCACATGTAATAGAAGATATATACTTGTATTCTGCATTAGTTTCGTTTTATAAAAAGGAAGGAAACATTACTGAGTCAATGATCATATTGCCTCATGTTTTTAAGAATACATTATATAAGAATGGACAATAAATTATTGCATTTTCTTGCTTTCACAGTCATCCTGCAATACTTTGAAAAACATTATTTTGTGTCTACTACTAAAGGTCAGTCGCTACTTCATAAGTACGCCAGCAATTCTGTTTCGACAAAAATAAAAAATATTTTCGGTGTAGTGTTTATGAAGAGCATAGTAGGTCAGTAGCTTCGCGCTTAAAATTCGTAGTTGGTTAGTTACGAGTTCAAAGCTTGTTTGCGATTTGCTTTTGTGTCCTTGAGCAAGACAATAGTTTCAGTTTATCCAGTTGTATGATTGGTACAAGCTGTTAGCTGAAAGGTTAACCTACGATGAATAGTATTCCATTCAGGTGGAAAGTGAAACAAGATTGCTGGTTTGTCAATTATTGTGAGTGGTGGTAAATTAAATAATGTTGTGTATTTTAATTTTCGTATCCCAACTGGCCTGATGAGCCCTGATACCAGGCCAAAGGCCACGTTGGCACAGGATATGGTATTTTCAGTGTGGTTGATATATTATAATCCTTTGCTTTCATACATGGGCTCTTAGAATTCTCATCACTTGTGCCAATAAGGTCGAAGTTCAGCACTGATTCCCAAGTGACATCTTGGCGAAGAAGGGATTTGATGTTTCTTTATTTATTTTACCTGACATATAAAAACTTTTAATTGTTGGCAGTAATAATTTTTGAATTACGTGAAACAAAACTTTAGTTCATAATAAACAGTAAAAATATATAATTTTGAAAAATCTTGCTGTAACATCAGTATTACTTAATATGAACCTAATTCATTTTGGTCTTCGGCAAAAACTGCATTTCACATTTCAACTTTATGAAATCTGTGAGTTGTTCTACATAAGAAATAATTTTGATGAAACAAGTAACTTTCTACAGTTTTTACATGAGAAAAAATCAACCATTTTCTGCTGGCTACTTTAAATACTACAAGTAAAGAAAAAAATTTCAAAAAGGAATTAAATGTAGGGATGGCTAATATCAATTCTCGAAAAACAATGAAAACAAAATAGTATTAATGACATTTACATTATCTCTACAGAATAACACAGACATGAATTAACATATCAATATATTGTTACGTCTCCGTTTGTTAATTAACTTTCCGTAACTTCGTTCCGACGAAACTTAAGCGACACAACTCCTTTCTTAATAAAACTAGTTTATTCTTTCCGAATATAACAGTGCAATACACTTAATCTCAATACTCGCGCTAAAACAACACTGTAACGAACGAACGTTAACTTCAACAATACCGTGTAACTGCAGTTCAATTACTCACTATCTACACACACATTACCTTACCCTACCGCGTCACGTTTTCCCCTCTTATATATATACCAGCCTACCCTA